TGAAAGGTTTCAAATTAGAAAACTTTTCGCCGATTTTTCCTCCCTTAAAATTTGCATTTTTGTAAGTGAACCCCATCTCCAGCAGCTATAGCGGCATTCGCTGGCTGTAATGATCTGTTGACCTCTCCTCGGGTCCCATCCCATCTCCGGCTGGGCGCCGTCCGGCCGGCTGGTCCGCTTGACATTATCAGCACTCAGTACCGCCGCCGCCCGCCGCGATGCGCCTCCTCGCCCTTTCGCCACCCCCCCTAGAGTACCGAGGAGAGGGCCTGAACCATCTCCTTTGAAGTGGCCGGCCTCCGCGTTTTTCGTTTCCGTTTCTTTGGCGCTGATTGGCCGCCTGCCCCCCCCCCCTCCCCCTACACCCCAACCCGGGCCCGCCTCACAGGGTCACCCTTATAGCGCGATTGGCTACCAATTAAAATTTCAACCGAGTGCCCTCGGCTCGCTTCGCTACACAAGCGAGCAAAACTGCCACTGCGTCTCTAAATGACTGCGTCTCTCTATCGCGGGTCTCTTTGTCCGCCCGTCTGACTATCAGCCAGCCCCAGCCCCTGCCCCTGCCCTCTGCCCCTGCCCTGTCCCTGTAGTGCGACACGCCGGGGGCGCGGGGTCGGGTCAGGGCTGCAGCCACGCCAGCCAGCGCGCCAGCCACCTGCCGAGGGCGCCTGCCATGGGCCGGGTAGGCCGACCCGCGCGACGCGCGCGCGTCCCCGGCCCGAAGTTGCCTACCTAGCCAGGCGCTCCCGGCGCCCTCGCCTCGCCGCCGCTCCAGCTCCTTTCACTGGCTTCCCATCATCCCTGCCATTTATGAGCCGTGTGAAGTTTGAACTCGGCGGTACTGCTGGTGGGCCGATCCCCCGTGCTTTGTTTTGTAATCTGAATCACCAATCGAATCCGTAAGATCTCCGATACCGCAATGACCCAACTGATTGAACGTGCTAACGAAAGCTATGATCGAAACCAAACAGTTGAACGGTGCCACTGTTCAAACAGAGGAGCAAAATGCAACCGTGGGACACGACTTTGTCCTGCGGTTGTTGCGACAGATGGACATTTCCTCGCCCTGTTTACATAGTGGCATTACCGTCCGACTGCCTCGTTTTCCGGGTGCGTGTTTGTGCGTTTGCGGGGGGGCCCGCGGGATGGCCCCAGACCGGCGGCACCCTCGCCTCGCGCCCGTCCCGTTTTAGGTCGAGTTGCTGTCTCCACAGCCGCCAACCGGCAGCTGCGCCGCTGCTGTGGCTAACCGCGGCAGTAAATTTGTTATTAAAAGAATGACGTCGGTTTTGAGGACGGGCGGGCGGAGGGGGGGAAGGAGAGGGTGCGAACACCAAGCACAGACTCCACCCCCCGATACGCGGACCGGGGGGACCCGAGGCACAGCGGTCGACTTATTGGTACGACACATATGGCGGCGACGGCGAGTCGGAGTTGGATACGCTAAAAGCAATGTCTGAATTTTTAAAGAATAAGGAGAAACTTTGAGGAACTTTCGTAATCTGAGAAAAACTGTTCATACTAATTTGAGAATTTTCTTAAATGGGGAAAAATCTCATTTTTTAAAAAAGGAGACTTCCTCGAAATTTGAGTTTTCTTAAACAGTGTGGGCGTTTCTCAAAACTTTCCGCTTTTTCTTTAAGAAAAAAAAAACAGACTTTTCTTTTACCGTGAACATGGAGGCGCACACCACTGCGCCAACCCCTACGACACTTGGTGGCGGATCGACAAACTGAACATGAATGAGGCGCGCCCATCCCGCAGCACCACTACTCGTAGTGCGTTAAGTGCGTAGTGCGTGCGGATCGGGCCGAGGGCTGCCGAGCGGAGAGGTGGGCGACCAGACCTGCGCCGGTGCGCCGCGGCGGTCCCGCTCACGGCTCGGCGGCACGTACACGACCCTCTTCTTGCCGATTAAAATCTTCGGCTCGATGAGAGGCACCCCGACTGCTGCCGCGGCCCCATACCGGCCTCGCCTGCCTCCACGCCCTCCCGCGCGTCGTTTACGACCCCTCCTCTCCTATCCCCGCTGATCCTGACTGACGCCGACAAGTGCCTCCCCTCCTGCCGCTCCCTCCTGCTGCTGCTGCTGCGCCCGCTCCAAGATATTAATCCCCGCTGGTCCGGGGCGTCGTCATATCGGAAAGTTTGGTGTAGCGGCCGGCCGGGGCGGGGCGGGTCTGTCTCCTCCACCGCCAGGTCAACGCTCCACGGGGGGGCCCTCCTCAGGCCCGGGCGCATCCCGCCCCGCACCACGCCGGAAAAACACTTCCGCTACTATTTTGTGGCACTCTTTATTGGCCGTTATTCACAGAGGTTATGTTTCCGAGCTGCTCTGGAAATAAGTATTGGCTTCATTATTCACAGCGTCGCTTGCCTGTGCCATGCCCCCCACCCCCGCGTGGGGTGTGTCTACCGTTACACAGCAGCGCTGGCGCAAGTCGTTTATAAAAATAATTTATCTGCATATTTTTGAAGCGAGAGAAGATGAACTAAACGACAGAAAGAGGATGAGAGGGAGGGGGAGAGGGAGAGAGAGAGAGAGAGAGAGAGAGAGAGAGGGAGAGAGAGACAGAGACACAGACAGACAGACAGACAGACAGACAGACAGACAGACAGACAGACAGACAGACAGACAGACAGACAGACAGAGTCG